TACTACTACTACTACTCCTACTGCTGCTACTGCTACTCCTACTACTACTACAACTACTACTACTACTACTACTACTACTACTAGTTCCCGGGCAAGCCGGCGGCGGAAGTTTCCTATAAGAACAAATTGACCTATAGGAGTGTCCCAGTTCTTTCCACCATGCGTGTCCCTCGTGTCCCTCAGTCAGGCGCATGAGTGATGAGCGATGAGTGAAGCATAAGCATAGCTCTAGCTCTAGCTCCAGTAAAGCTAACTGGAGCTAGACGTTAACTATGATGTGATAGCTTGTCTAGACACGACGCTAATTAGCTCAAATTTGTCAACCTCTCAAAACACGTCTTTTGAGGTCTCCAGAAAGTAATCGAAATGACCACTTTTGAGTAAGCAAAGAAGCTAAAATTTGTCAACATCTCAAGAGAGCCGGGTGGTCGGGAGACATGACTCAGCTGCAGGGGCGCCAGAGCAGCCGCGAGAGATGACTCAGCCGCGTACAAAAGTTGTACTACCAAGTCGCCAGTTCTCAGCTTCCAGCGCCACAGATTGCTCCGCGTACTAAAGTTGCACTACAAAGTCGCCAGTTCTCATCTTCCAGCTCCCCAGATACTCTGCGTACTAAAGCTCTACTACAAAGTCGCCAGTTCTCATCTTCCAGCTCCGCAGATACTCCGCGTACTGAAGTTGTACTACAAAGTCACCAGTTCTCAGCTTCCAGCTCCACAGATTGCTCCGCGTACTAAAGTTGTACTACAAAGTCGCCAGTTCTCATCTTCCAGCTCCCCAGATACTCCGCGCACTAAAGTTGTACTACAAAGTCGCCAGTTCTCATCTTCCAGCTCCCACTCCGCGTACTAAAGTTGTATACTACAAAGTCGCCAGTTCTCAGCTTCCAGCTCCACAGATTGCTCCGCGTACTAAAGTTGTACTAGAAAGTCGCCAGTTCTCATCTTCCAGCTCCCCTAAAGTTGCACTAGAAAGTCGCCAGTTCTCAGCTTCCAGCTCCACAGATTGCTCCGCGTACTAAAGTGGAACTACAAAGTCGCCAGTTCTCATCTTCCAGCTCCGCAGATACTCCGCGCACTAAAGTTGCACTACAAAGTCGCCAGTTCTCAGCTTCCAGCTCCACAGATTGCTCCGCGTGCCAAAGTGCAACTACAAAGTCGCCAGTTCTCAGCTTCCAGCTCCCCGACACTCCTTGTACTAAAGTTGCACTACAAATTCGCCAGTTCTCATCTTCCAGCTCCACAGATTGCTCCGCGTACTAAAGTTGTAGTACAAAGTCGCCAGTTCTCAGCTTCCAGCTCCCCAGTGGGTTCTTCCGCGTACTACAGTTGTACTATAAAGTCGCCCGGATTACTCCGCATACTAAAGTTGCACTACAAAGTCGCCAGTTCTCAGCCTCTAGCTCCCCAGCCTGCTCCGCGTACTAAAGTTGTACTACAAAGTCACATGGAGTTTCATAAAGTGCTGTGCTTGCCACGAAATCTGCACCTCGAGGTTCACAAAGTGCTGTGCCTGCCACGCACTCTGCACATGGAGTGCTTCACAAAGTGCTGTGCCTGCCATGAAATCTGCGCATGGAGGTTCACAAAGTGCTGTGCCTGCCACGAACACTGCGCATCGAGGTTCACAAAGTGCTGTGCCTGCCACGAACTCTGCACATGAAGGTTCACAAAGTGCTTTGCCTGCCACGACATCTGCACATGGAGGTTCACAAAGTGCTGTGCCTGCCACGAAATCTGTACCTCGAGGTTCACAAAGTGCTGCACCTGCCACGAATTCTGCACATGGAGGTTCGCAAAGTGCTTCGCCTGCCACGAAATCTGCACATGGAGGTTCACAAAGTGCTGCGCTTGCCACGATATCTGCACATGGAGGTTCACAAAGTGCTGTGCCTGCCACGAAATCTGCACTTCAAGAAACAAGTGAAAACTCCAACCACAATGGAGGGACGATTCCGAGCATGATCCAAGCATGATCCGAGCATGACCCGAGACCGTCTCGCACACGTCGTCCCGCAAAGCTTGACTTGCCAGCTTCGGAGCCACCCTTTCTATTGAAAAACACAGCATTTCGTTCGTCCGCTATCTCTCGAAAACGCATTTTGCATTGCGCCTGCCACGAAAACTGCACATGAAGGTTCACAAAGTGCTGTGCCTGCCACGAAATCTGCACCTCGAGGTTCACAAAGTGCTGGGCCTGCCATGAAATCTGCACCTCGAGGTTCACAAAGTGCTGCACCTGCCACGAATTCTGCACCTCGAGGTTCACAAAGTGCTGCACATGTATGATGAGTGGTGTCTGATGAGTGGTGCATGATGAGTGGTGTATGATGAGTGGTGTATGAGGAGTGGTGTATGAGGAGTGGTATATGATAAGTGGTGTATGATGAGTGCTACTACTGCTACTGCTACTGCTACTGATGCTACTACTACTACTACTGCTACTACTACTACTGCTACTGCTACTACTACTACTACCACTACTACTCCTCCTACTCCTGCTGCTGCTGCTGTTGCTGCTCCTGCTGCTGCTGCTGCTACTGCTACTGCTACTGCTACTCCTACTACTACTACTACTGCTACTACTGCTACTACTGCTGCTACTGCTACTGCTACTCCTACTCCTACTCCTACTACTACTACTACTTCTACTTCTACTTCTACTTCTACTTCTACTACTTTTACTTCTACTTCTACTTCTACTTCTACT